GCCTCACTCTGTCTCCCACTGTCTCACACTGTCTCAATCTGTCTCCCACTGTCTCACTCTGTCTCCCACTGTCTCCCACTGTCTCACTGTCTCACTCTGTCTCCCACTGTCTCACACTGTCTCACACTGTCTCAATCTGTCTCCCACTGTCTCACTCTGTCTCCCACTGTCTCCCACTGTCTCACTGTCTCACTGTCTCCCACTGTCTCACTCTGTCTCACTCTGTCTCACACTGTCTCACACTGTCTCACACTGTCTCACACTGTCTCACTCTGTCTCCCACTGTCTCCCACTGTCTCACACTGTCTAACTCTGTCTCCCACTGTCTCACACTGTCTCACACTGTCTCACTCTGTCTCCCACTGTCTCACACTGTCTAACTCTGTCTCACTCTGTCTCCCACTGTCTCACACTGTCTCACTCTGTCTCCCACTGTCTCACACTGTCTCACTCTGTCTCCCACTGTCTCACTCTGTCTCCCACTGTCTCCCACTGTCTCACTCTGTCTCCCACTGTCTCACACTGTCTAACTCTGTCTCACTCTGTCTCACACTGTCTCACACTGTCTCACTCTGTCTCACTCTGTCTCCCACTATCTCACACTGTCTCACTCTGTCTCCCACTGTCTCACACTGTCTCACTCTGTCTCCCACTGTCTCACTCTGTCTCACACTGTCTCACTCTGTCTCCCACTGTCTCACTCTGTCTCACACTGTCTCACTGTCTCACTCTGTCTCCCACTGTCTCACACTGTCTCACTCTGTCTCCCACTGTCTCACTCTGTCTCACACTGTCTCACTCTGTCTCCCACTGTCTCACACTGTCTCACTCTGTCTCACACTGTCTAACTCTGTCTCACTCTGTCTCCCACTGTCTCACACTGTCTCACACTGTCTCACTCTGTCTCCCACTGTCTCACACTGTCTCACACTGTCTCACACTGTCTCACTCTGTCTCCCACTGTCTCACACTGTCTCACTCTGTCTCACACTGTCTCCCACTGTCTCACTGTCTCACTCTGTCTCCCACTGTCTCACTGTCTCACTCTGTCTCCCACTGTCTCCCACTGTCTCACACTGTCTCACACTGTCTCACTCTGTCTCACTCTGTCTCACTGCCTCACTCTGTCTCACTGTCTCACTCTGTCTCACACTGTCTCACACTGTCTCACTCTGTCTCACTCTGTGAGGGGGGGGGGGTGGTTCGAGTGGTTTTTATCTTAATCTGACATATTCTGACCAGAGAGAGACCAGAGAGAGAGACCAGAGAGAGAGACCAGAGAGAGAGACCAGAGAGAGACCAGAGAGAGAGACCAGAGAGAGACCAGAGAGAGAGACCAGAGAGAGAGACCAGAGAGAGAGACCAGAGAGAGACCAGAGAGAGAGACCAGAGAGAGACCAGAGAGAGACCAGAGAGAGACCAGAGAGAGACCAGAGAGAGACCAGAGAGAGACCAGAGAGAGACCAGAGAGAGAGACCAGAGAGAGAGACCAGAGAGACCAGAGAGAGACCAGAGAGAGACGAGAGAGAGACCAGAGAGAGACCAGAGGGAGAGACCAGAGAGAGAGACCAGAGGGAGACGAGAGAGAGACCAGAGAGAGACCAGAGGGAGAGACCAGAGAGAGACCAGAGGGAGAGACCCCTTCTAAAGGAAGAAGAGAAATACCCTAAATTAGGTCAAATGATGTTGATGTGAATGATTCAGATCAACAGAATAAACAGGATGTAGTTCTGTTTTTCTGAGAGTCTAAAGTCTTTGGAAGATTCAAAAAACCATTAATTAGAAAAACAATCGTTACGACTGAGAATAAGTCAAAGAAACTCTTACCTCAGAACTTTCTCTGATGTTTTAAAATGTATGGACTCAAAATCACTCACAAGTCTGTAAAAGAACACACTGCAGGCATCACACAAGAGAAGAGGGAGACACACACACACACAGACACACAGAGAGACACACACACACACACACACACACAGACACACACAGACACACACACACACACACACAGACACACACACACACACACACACACATACATACACACACACAAAGACACACACACAGAGAGACACACGCACACACACACACAGACACACACACACACAGACACACACACACACACACACACACACACACAGACACACACACACATAAATAAGTCATGTGTCCTGGAGGTGGATCAGGTGAACTTCTCCGGTGACACTGGGACCAGAGCGAGACCAGAGAGAGACCAGAGAGAGACCAGAGAGAGACCAGAGAGAGAGACCAGAGAGAGACCAGAGAGAGACCAGAGAGAGACCAGGGAGAGACCAGAGAGAGACCAGAGAGAGACCAGAGAGAGACCAGAGAGAGAGACCAGAGAGAGACCAGAGAGAGACCAGAGAGAGACCAGAGAGAGAGACCAGAGAGAGACCAGAGACCAAGAGAGAGACCAGAGAGAGAGATCAGAGAGAGACCAGAGAGAGACCAGAGAGAGACCAGGAAGACCAGGAGAGACCAGAGAGAGACCAGAGAGAGACCAGAGAGAGACCAGAGAGAGAGAGACCAGAGAGAGACCAGAGAGAGAGACCAGAGAGAGACCAGAGAGAGACCAGAGAGAGAGACCAGAGAGAGACCAGAGAGAGACCAGAGAGAGACCAGAGAGAGACCAGAGAGAGACCAGAGAGAGACCAGAGAGAGACCAGAGAGAGAGAGACCAGAGAGAGACCAGAGAGAGACCAGAGAGAGAGACTAGAGAGAGACCAGAGAGAGAGACCAGAGAGAGAGACCAGAGAGACTAGAGAGAGACCAGAGAGAGACTAGAGAGAGACCAGAGAGAGACCAGAGAGAGAGAGAGAGAGACCAGAGAGAGAGAGACCAGAGAGAGAGAGACCAGAGAGAGACCAGAGAGAGAGAGAGACCAGAGAGAGAGACCAGAGAGAGACCAGAGAGAGACCAGAGAGAGACCAGAGAGAGACCGAGAGAGAGACCAGAGAGAGAGCAGAGAGAGAGACCAGAGAGAGACCAGAGAGAGACCAGAGAGAGACCAGAGAGAGAGAGCAGAGTCTGTGTGAATTGACACTAATTAAATACATTTGGTTTAAAATTTCCAAACATGATTAAAAGTAGAAGAAATACCTTAAATTATGGTAAATGATCCAGTTCAGACCCATGTCCAAGTCCAGACCCATGTCCAAGTCCAGACCCATGTCCAAGTCCAGACCCATGTCCCAGTCCAGACCCATGTCCCAGTCCAGACCCATGTCCAAGTCCAGACCCATGTCCCAGTCCAGACCCATGTCCCAGTCCAGACCCAGTCCAACCATGTCCAGTCCAGACCCATGTCCCAGTCCAGACCCATGTCCCAGTCCAGACCCATGTCCAAGTCCAGACCCATGTCCAAGTCCAGACCCATGTCCCAGTCCAGACCCATGTCCAAGTCCAGACCCATGTCCCAGTCCAGACCCATGTCCCAGTCCAGACCCATGTCCCAGTCCAGACCCATGTCCCGGTCCAGACCCATGTCCCAGTCCAGACCCATGTCCAAGTCCAGACCCATGTCCCAGTCCAGACCCATGTCCCAGTCCAGACCCATGTCCAAGTCCAGACCCATGTCCAAGTGCAGACCCATGTCCAATGTCCCGTCCAGACCCATGTCCAAGTCCAGACCCATGTCCCAGTCCAGACCCATGTCCCGGTCCAGACCCATGTCCCAGTCCAGACCCATGTCCCAGTCCAGACCCATGTCCCAGTCCAGACCCATGTCCCAGTCCAGACCCATGTCCCAGTCCAGACCCATGTCCCAGTCCAGACCCATGTCCCGGTCCAGACCCATGTCCAAGTCCAGACCCATGTCCCAGTCCAGACCCATGTCCCCAGTCCAGACCCATGTCCCAGTCCAGACCCATGTCCCAGTCCAGACCCATGTCCCAGTCCAGACCCATGTCCCAGTCCAGACCCATGTCCCCAGTCCAGACCCATGTCCCAGTCCAGACCCATGTCCCAGTCCAGACCCATGTCCCAGTCCAGACCCATGTCCCAGTCCAGACCCATGTCCAAGTCCAGACCCATGTCCAGACCCAGTCTCCAGACCCATGTCCAAGTCCAGACCCATGTCCCAGTCCAGACCCATGTCCCAGTCCAGACCCATGTCCCAGTCCAGACCCATGTCCCAGTCCAGACCCATGTCCCAGTCCAGACCCATGTCCCAGTCCAGACCCATGTCCAAGTCCAGACCCATGTCCCAGTCCAGACCCATGTCCCAGTCCAGACCCATGTCCCAGTCCAGACCCATGTCCCAGTCCAGACCCATGTCCCAGTCCAGACCCATGTCCCAGTCCAGACCCATGTCCCAGTCCAGACCCATGTCCAAGTCCAGACCCATGTCCCAGTCCAGACCCATGTCCCAGTCCAGACCCATGTCCCAGTCCAGACCCATGTCCAAGTCCAGACCCATGTCCCAGTCCAGACCCATGTCCCCAGGTCCAGACCCATGTCCCAGTCCAGACCCATGTCCCAGTCCAGACCCATGTCCCAGTCCAGACCCATGTCCCAGTCCAGACCCATGTCCCGGTCCAGACCCATGTCCCGGTCCAGACCCATGTCCCGGTCCAGACCCATGTCCCAGTCCAGACCCATGTCCCAGTCCAGACCCATGTCCAAGTCCAGACCCATGTCCCGGTCCAGACCCATGTCCCGGTCCAGACCCATGTCCCAGTCCAGACCCATGTCCCGGTCCAGACCCATGTCCCAGTCCAGACCCAGACTTTATTATTGTATCATTGATAATTTATAGAGCACTAATAAAAACAACAGATTGACCAAAGTGCTGACCATAAAAAGACAAACACAAATATACAATTACAAAATACAAAACAGAGGCAAAAACACAACATTTACAGCAAATCAATTCAATCAATTCAAAATCAAAGAAAAGCCAATGAGAACGAGTGAGTTTTAAGAAGAGACTTACATCATTTAGGACCAACAACCGACAAAGCCTGGTCTCTGAGTTTCTGTTAAGTCTGAGGACCCAGAGAAGAGCCAGATCTGAGCCAGAGAAGAGCCAGATCTGAGCCAGAGAAGAGCCAGATCTGAGCCAGAGAAGAGCCAGATCTGAGCCAGAGAAGAGCCAGATCTGAGCCAGAGAAGAGCCAGATCTGAGCCAGAGAAGAGCCAGATCTGACCTGAGAGAAGAGCCAGATCTGAGCCAGAGAAGAGCCAGATCTGAGCCAGAGAAGAGCCAGATCTGACCCAGAGAAGAGCCATATCTGAGCCAGAGAAGAGCCATATCTGAGCCAGAGAAGAGCCAGATCTGAGCCAGAGAAGAGCCAGATCTGAGCCAGAGAAGAGCCAGATCTGAGCCAGAGAAGAGCCAGATCTGACCTGAGAGAAGAGCCAGATCTGAGCCAGAGAAGAGCCAGATCTGAGCCAGAGAAGAGCCAGATCTGACCCAGAGAAGAGCCATATCTGAGCCAGAGAAGAGCCATATCTGAGCCAGAGAAGAGCCAGATCTGAGCCCAGAGAAGAGCCAGATCTGAGCCAGAGAAGAGCCAGATCTGACCTGAGAGAAGAGCCAGATCTGAGCCAGAGAAGAGCCAGATCTGAGCCAGAGAAGAGCCAGATCTGACCCAGAGAAGAGCCATATCTGAGCCAGAGAAGAGCCAGATCTGAGCCAGAGAAGAGCCAGATCTGAGCCAGAGAAGAGCCAGATCTGACCTGAGAGAAGAGCCAGATCTGAGCCAGAGAAGAGCCAGATCTGACCCAGAGAAGAGCCAGATCTGAGCCAGAGAAGAGCCATATCTGAGCCAGAGAAGAGCCAGATCTGAGCCAGAGAAGAGCCAGATCTGAGCCAGAGAAGAGCCAGATCTGACCTGAGAGAAGAGCCAGATCTGAGCCAGAGAAGAGCCAGATCTGACCCAGAGAAGAGCAAGATCTGACCCAGAGAAGAGCCAGATCTGACCCAGAGAAGAGCCATATCTGAGCCAGAGAAGAGCCAGATCTGAGCCAGAGAAGAGCCAGATCTGAGCCAGACAAGAAGCCAGATCTGAGCCAGAGAAGAGCCAGATCTGACCTGAGAGAAGAGCCAGATCTGAGCCAGAGAAGAGCCAGATCTGAGCCAGAGAAGAGCCAGATCTGAGCCAGAGAAGAGCCAGATCTGAGCCAGAGAAGAGCCAGATCTGACCAGAGAAGAGCCAGATCTGAGCCAGAGAAGAGCCAGATCTGAGCCAGAGAGAAGAGCCAGATCTGAGCCAGAGAAGAGCCATATCTGAGCCAGAGAAGAGCCAGATCTGAGCCAGAGAAGAGCCAGATCTGAGCCAGAGAAGAGCCAGATCTGACCTGAGAGAAGAGCCAGATCTGACCCAGAGAAGAGCCAGATCTGACCCAGAGAAGAGCCAGATCTGAGCCAGAGAAGAGCCAGATCTGAGCCAGAGAAGAGCCAGATCTGACCTGAGAGAAGAGCCAGATCTGAGCCAGAGAAGAGCCAGATCTGAGCCAGATCTGACCCAGAAGAGCCATATCTGAGCCAGAGAAGAGCCAGATCTGAGCCAGAGAAGAGCCAGATCTGAGCCAGAGAAGAGCCAGATCTGACCTGAGAGAAGAGCCAGATCTGAGCCAGAGAAGAGCCAGATCTGAGCCAGAGAAGAGCCAGATCTGACCCAGAGAAGAGCCATATCTGAGCCAGAGAAGAGCCATATCTGAGCCAGAGAAGAGCCAGATCTGAGCCAGAGAAGAGCCAGAGAAGAGCCAGAGAAGAGCCAGATCTGACCTGAGAGAAGAGCCAGATCTGAGCCAGAGAAGAGCCAGATCTGACCCAGAGAAGAGCCAGATCTGACCCAGAGAAGAGCCAGATCTGAGCCAGAGAAGAGCCAGATCTGAGCCAGAGAAGAGCCAGATCTGAGCCAGAGAAGAGCCAGATCTGACCCAGAGAAGAGCCATATCTGAGCCAGAGAAGAGCCAGATCTGAGCCAGAGAAGAGCCAGATCTGAGCCAGAGAAGAGCCAGATCTGACCTGAGAGAAGAGCCAGATCTGAGCCAGAGAAGAGCCAGATCTGAGCCAGAGAAGAGCTAGATCTGACCCAGAGAAGAGCCATATCTGAGCCAGAGAAGAGCCATATCTGAGCCAGATCTGAGCCAGAGAAGAGCCAGATCTGAGCCAGAGAAGAGCCAGAGCCAGATCTGAGCCAGAGAAGAGCCAGATCTGACCAGAGAAGAGCCAGATCTGACCCAGAGAAGAGCCAGATCTGACCCAGAGAAGAGCCAGATCTGACCCAGAGAAGAGCCAGATCTGAGCCAGAGAAGAGCCAGATCTGAGCCAGAGAAGAGCCAGATCTGAGCCAGAGAAGAGCCAGATCTGAGCCAGAGAAGAGCCAGATCTGAGCCAGAGAAGAGCCAGATCTGAGCCAGAGAAGAGCCAGATCTGACCCAGAGAAGAGCCATATCTGAGCCAAGAAGAGCCAGATCTGAGCCAGAGAAGAGCCAGATCTGAGCCAGAGAAGCCAGAAGAGCCAGATCTGACCTGAGAGAAGAGCCAGATCTGAGCCAGAGAAGAGCCAGATCTGAGCCAGAGAAGAGCCAGATCTGAGCCAGAGAAGAGCCATATCGAGCCAGAGAGAGCCATCTGAGCCAGAGAAGAGCCAGATCTGAGCCAGAGAAGAGCCAGATCTGACCCAGAGAAGAGCCAGATCTGAGCCAGAGAAGAGCCAGATCTGAGCCAGAGAAGAGCCAGATCTGAGCCAGAGAAGAGCCAGATCTGACCTGAGAGAAGAGCCAGATCTGAGCCAGAGAAGAGCCAGATCTGAGCCAGAGAAGAGCCAGATCTGACCCAGAGAAGAGCCATATCTGAGCCAGAGAAGAGCCATATCTGAGCCAGAGAAGAGCCAGATCTGAGCCAGAGAAGAGCCAGATCTGAGCCAGAGAAGAGCCAGATCTGACCTGAGAGAAGAGCCAGATCTGAGCCAGAGAAGAGCCAGATCTGACCCAGAGAAGAGCCAGATCTGAGCCAGAGAAGAGCCAGATCTGAGCCAGAGAAGAGCCAGATCTGAGCCAGAGAAGAGCCAGATCTGACCTGAGAGAAGAGCCAGATCTGAGCCAGAGAAGAGCCAGATCTGACCCAGAGAAGAGCCAGATCTGACCCAGAGAAGAGCCAGATCTGACCCAGAGAAGAGCCAGATCTGAGCCAGAGAAGAGCCAGATCTGAGCCAGAGAAGAGCCAGATCTGACCTGAGAGAAGAGCCAGATCTGACCCAGAGAAGAGCCAGATCTGACCCAGAGAAGAGCCAGATCTGACCCAGAGAAGAGCCAGATCTGAGCCAGAGAAGAGCCAGATCTGAGCCAGAGAAGAGCCAGATCTGAGCCAGAGAAGAGCCAAATCTGACCCAGAGAAGAGCCAGATCTGAGCCAGAGAAGAGCCAGAACTCTCCGTCAAACTACAATCAGCAAATTCAGCACAAACTCTGACGTCATCGACACGACCTACAACACCCGCCTCCCCCGCTCTCTGATTGGTCGGAGGGGATTCAACCGAGGACACTGCAGCCACTAGGATCCCGCTTCAGGGACCACAGTTGTGTGTTTACATGTGTGTCCTGAAAACTCGTTTGTACTAAGTCACAAAGTCAGTTTTGGACAAAGGCGTCTCAGACAAAACTATGTTTATTATGTGTTCAAATGTCTTTAATATCATCAGTACCAGTGAGGTCCAAAAGGTTCTATCACGATTCTGCTCCGACACTCTGTTAAAGCATTTTACAGACACAAAGCACTTTACCGTGTTCAGAGTCAGAGATTTTTCCATCCACACAGTGATGACAGAAGCGAGACCAGAACACACTGGACCATCAAAGCCTCCGACCAAACACCATCCAGTCACTTATACATTCAGACTATTGTGTTTTTAGGGGTAGGGGACACCGGAGCGCCCGGAGGAAACCTATGCTGACACGGGGAGAACATGCAAACTCCACTCGGAAAGGCCTTGTTCAGACTGGGATTCGAACCCAGGACCTTCTTGTTGAGAGCGACCATATATTCTATCATGGTCTGCACATGGTCCACAGACTGATGGTTGTTTATCAGAACACACTGCAAAAAAACATCAAATGTGAGGTCGTCAATGCTGGAATTTTTGTCTCAATCTTTTTGGCGTTTTTTTGAACATTTTTTGTGAAATGTACAAAAGGGGACACTCTGTAACTTAAAGGAGACGTATGTAAACATGTGGCCAACAGTGGTACTGCAGCCTCTCCCTCTCCCTGACTCAGGTTGCCAGATATGCAGACCAAGCCTTTCGACAGATTAGGGCCATTTAAAGATGACGTGAAAATCTTACATATGTCTGCTTTGATAAGAGAAATGACTTTAATCATTCACAGAAAACATATACAAGGGAATTATGTGAGAAAAATGTGAGGAGACATTTGTGGGAACTGAAGCCAAGTCACTGTATATAAAGTGCCCAAGGATTTGTGAGTCTGGTTCTCGAGTTAAGACAGATTTTAACAAATTTGAGCCATTTTTTACTTTTTTTTTGCAGTGCAGACAGTCCAGGCTCAGTGTGTGCGTGTGTGTGTGTGTGTGTGTGTGTGTGTGTGTGTCTGTATGTGTGTGTGTGTCACACACACACAGACACACTCACCCCAGAAACAATACACACAACATCAACAAAATGTTTTATGGCAATATGCAGCGATAACAGTGGGCTACACACACACACACAGACACACACACACACACACACACACACACACACACACACACACACACACACACACACACACACACACACACACACACACACACACACACACACACACACACACACACACACACACACTACCCCCTGATGCACTGACCCAGATCAGCCCCTCTTTATTATTCCATGTTTGTAGAGTTCTGTGTAAACACGACTCATTCTACTGCTCTGTCTCTGACGATGCAACACTGAACTTTCCCCATAGTGGCACCAGAAAAGCATTTCCTCATCATAATCTTCTTTATACAACAATTTATCGCTTGATTCTTGCAAATAAAGATTTAAAAATGTGGCTTTTTCAACAACAACAACAACAACAACAACAACAACAACCTGGTCTCGTGTCATGAACTGAACATATTTTTAACATCTTCAGTATTTTCAGTGTTTAGGTTAATTTTTTTAGTTTTAGTTCAACAGAATCTAAACAGTCCTAAAATACAATCTCAGCTTTAAACTGGTTCAGACAAGAATGACTCAAAACGTCTGAAATGTCTCAATAACCTAAACATTCTAAATTGGCCAATGCTCAAGCTAAAGTTTTTTTTGCCTTAAATCCAGATTTAGTGACTTAATTTTGTCTATTTTTTCAATAATTCAAAATCACTAAATCAACCTTAAGGATAACGCTACACTGCATAAAAGATCAAACATGAGTTAAGAACCGCTTGGATCAATTCTCTCGTTTTAAAACATTAGTGAAGTTACTGAAGTTAATGTTAAAGTTTTTCCTCAATTCATTTCAGACTCATTTTGTCCCTTTTCTCTGTGAATGAACTCCACACAACTCATTCACAAAAGCAGATAAACCTGTAATATTGTAAGAGTTCTGTGTGTTAAAGATGGCACATGTACAGAGCCAAACACAGCCTCAGGTCGTGTGCAGAGTGAGACCTACCTCATGGTCCGCACTGAAATACACAACTCCCACATCCACACACCGCCTGCATCACCACAGGGAAAGAGACCGCCTCACAGGCCACGCCCCCGAAGCACCCAGACCACGCCCCCGAAGCACCCAGGCCCCGCCCCTAAGCAGACACACCACGCCCCCGAAGCACCCAGGCCACGCCCTCTAAGCACACAAGCCACGCCCCCTAAGCACCCAGACCACGCCCCCGGAGCACCCAGGCCCCGCCCCTAAGCACACAAACAACGCCCCCTAAGCACCCAGGCCCCGCCCCTACGCAGACAGACCACGCCCCCTAAGCACCCAGGCCACGTCCCCTAAGAACCCAGGCCCTGCCCCTAAGCAGACAGGCCACGCCCCCTAAGCACCCAGGCCACGCCCTCTAAGCACACAGGCCACGCCTCCTAAGAACCCAGGCCCTGCCCCTAAGTAGACAGGCCACGCTCCCTAAGCACCCAGGCCACGCCCTCTAAGCACACAGGCCACGCCTCCTAAGAACCCAGGCCCCGCCCCTACGCAGACAGACCACGCCCCCTAAGCACCGAGGCCACGTCCCCTAAGAACCCAGGCCCTGCCCCTAAGCAGACAGGCCACGCCCCCTAAGCACCCAGGCCACGCCCTCTAAGCACACAGGCCACGCCTCCTAAGAACCCAGGCCCTGCCCCTAAGTAGACAGGCCACGCTCCCTAAGCACCCAGGCCACGCCCTCTAAGCACACAGGCCACGCCCCCTAAGCACCCAGACCACGCCCCCGGAGCACCCAGGCCCCGCCCCTAAGCACCCAGGCCCCGCCCCTACGCAGACAGACCACGCCCCCTAAGCACCCAGGCCACGTCCCCTAAGAACCCAGGCCCTGCCCCTAAGCAGACAGGCCACGCCCCCTAAGCACCCAGGCCACGCCCTCTAAGCACACAGGCCACGCCTCCTAAGAACCCAGGCCCTGCCCCTAAGTAGACAGGCCACGCTCCCTAAGCACCCAGGCCACGCCCTCTAAGCACACAGGCCACGCCTCCTAAAAACCCAGACCCCGCCCCTACGCAGACAGACCACGCCCCCGAAGCACCCAGGCCACGCCCCCTATACATACAGGCCACGTCCCCTAAGAACCCAGGCCCCGCCCCAAATCAACCAGGCCACGCCCTCTAAGCACACAGGCCACGCCTCCTAAGAACCCAGGCCCCGCCCCTACGCAGACAGACCACGCCCCCTAAGCACCCAGGCCACGCCCCCTATACATACAGGCCACGTCCCCTAAGAACCCAGGCCCCGCCCCAAATCAACCAGGCCACGCCCCCGAAGCATAAAGGCCAGTTCTGATGTTCTGTTTTATTATTTCACGACACATTCTTTCCTTGTGTCTTGATAATAAAATGCAAATGAAGGGGGCGGGCCACAGACAGCAAGACAAAAGCAATCGCCTCTTGCAGACTGACCAGGCCAAACCGTGCTAAACAGTGCTGCCATTATAGCAGTGCCATCTAGCTGCGTGAAGCTGTTTGTCCCGTGGCTGTCATGGAATTGTCTTTTATAATGCCTGGAAGAGCGTGTTGTGTGTTCGGCTGTGCAAGCCTGCAACAGAACCGTGTGTGAACTTCTTAAACCTTTACAACATACTGACCATACTGACTTCCCCCATACGGATTGCAGAAAGCTCCTGGTCCAGCTCAGGAACAAGATGTGTGTCTGAAGTGGATGAAAAATATAAACCTAGATGGCTTTAAGCCAAACAAGAAAGCAGTGGTAAGTTTAGCTTTGATTATTACATCTGAGAAAACCACTGGTTGCTGTCTATAAATGACATGAGTGTAAAAAGTAACTGCTATATTTTCTAGCTTCGTTAGCCTGTTAGCCTCGTTAGCCTGTTAGCCTCGTTAGCCTGTTAGCCAGATACAAAAGCTCTGACATTGCTCTTGACAGGACCTGTAATGCACTTTCTGTATATGTGCGTTCACTTCATGTTAGTTCTTGTTTACATTGGATTACACGTTTGCTAAAAAAGTAATTTGCAAAGTGGAGCTTGTGAGACTCGTTCTGGAATTTGCCAGATTATTACAAGTTAGCTAACTGTTAATAGTAATGCACAGTAATGCTTTTAGATAAGCATTTACACACATACAATAATAGCGCATTCGTTATATGAACGTTATATGAATTTTCAATAATCAATTAATTAATTACGTGGGGGTCACGAGTTGACAGTTCTGGGTTCAAATCCCACATCATCCTTATTAAGTATAATAAAAACCTTAAGATAAAACTGTTAAATGTTAAAACTACATTACTAATGTATTTTTCATCAATTCCAGGTATGTGGGAAACATTTTCCTGATGGGCAACCCACATGAGAAAATTTCCGTCCTGTGTTACTTATGGTTTATGATTGTTGTGTAAGTATGATATTTTTAATATCCTTCATTGTTTTGTTTAACTAATATACAGCTCATTTTTTCTGTTAGGTAACACCTGCTAGACCCCCCCAAAAGAGATGTGTTTAGGCTGTACACCAGAACTCAACTACTGAACGTGAACCTGGAGAAGATGAAGATAATTTGGAGAAAATCCCTCTACTGACGTGTGATGTTGGAGTCCAGTGGCCAGATCACAACTAGTTTCAGCAGTAATGTTAAGATGAAGGAGCATTTAGATAAGAAAGATTTTGTTTTACACAAGTGTATGTGCTGACACTTTCTGGGAACTTTTGAGAGTCCTGCTGACTTTTTGCCACAATCACTTAATATAAAATTGTAACTGCGTATTTTCTACTGTCTCTGGGGCTACATTGTCACAACTAGACCTCTAATGGCAGTATCATGTAAACATGGCTCTAACACGGTCAACGACTCAACTCATACTGCTCAATTGACGCATATTTATCTTATTTAAGCCCGACATTTAACTGTCATACAGTGTCCTGTCATTACCTGCCTTAAGCCTGGTTCACACGAGACGATTTTAAAATTGTCGGCCGATTTTTCTCTGTGTGAGACCCCACACAGGGAGATAAAAAATCACGGGTCTAACCACTTTCGTCGTACAGTGTGTGGTGCGCAGCCACACGGCAAAAATCACGCAAACCACACACGAACCGATTCCCCCGAGTATTCACAGATCAGACGGAAATCTCAGGTCTCGCGAGATCAAGCGTGACTTCAGAGTAAACACACATGGCGGACGAAGAGGATGCATTGGCGAGTTTGTTTTTATCGGAGAAAAGACGTAATCAAAAGAAAAGGCGATGGTCAAAGAAGTGTAGACAACACGAGCATGGACTATACTTGCTACATCGTGATATGGAGGCGTTTCCTCACCGCCTCGTCTTCTCTTCTGATTGGCTACACGCCGCAGTCATGGCAACGCGCACGTCTGTCCTCGGGGGACACCACACACGAAGAGAAATCGGGCCAAAACAATCCAACATGTTGGATATCCCCGATTTGAGATCGGGAGCAGTCCTGATGTCCTTCCGAGCGACGAGTGCAGTCTTAACACACCACACACGGCAGGATAATCTGTAAGATTTTGTTACGGAAATCGGAGCGTTTCTTAAGATTGTCGTAAGGGGTAAATCGGGTCTAAATCGGCCTAAATATCCTGCCGTGTGAACCAGGCTTTAGTCAGTTTTGGCCAGTACCTGACATCATCTACTACCGGCAGATTTTACCACTAGGTAAAATCCTCCAGCTCCGGTGGTCCTGACCAAGCCGAGCATCAACATCTCAAGATGGATTCCCGGGCGCTGTTACTACGGCTTCCCACTGCTCCTGACGTAAGCCTTAGCGGCAACAGGATGGGTCAAAAAATGCAGAGGATGAAGTGCCCTACTGGGATTAATGTGCACCTTTACCTTACCAATGTTCACTTTCCTTTGCCATGGTGATGGTGACGAGAATGAGGATAGACTAATGATAATGATATAATTTATAATTGTCGTTGTTGAAATAATTGTTTTACTGACCAGGCAGCTTAAGTGAATGTAATGTGTACTTAGAAGTTCATAAGTCTTACTTCTTAAGATAAGATAGACTCTTCCCACTCTATTTCAGGTCTCTATAGGGATGAAGAAGAAATATATATCTATGTATTTATGTCAAATAACTGAATCCTGTATGAACCTAAAAAAATGAATACAAATTTATATTATCACATCATTCATTGAAATGTCACAATAGCAGGCTCGCAGTTATGGCACACAGACAAGATGGTGGTCCGTAAACATTTTTTGGAAGATTTGTCTTTAGTTACAGTCTGATAATTTTCACATTGTGGTTTTTGCACATAAATGGCAGGTACTCATTGACATTTATGGATTAATCCATCAAAAAGTGTGGATCAGACCTCCTCTCTGTAGGTCAGA